TAAACTCACATCTCTCTTGATGCGCCAGCTTGTATGGCCAAGGCCGGGCAGATCGCGCAGCTCTAACCGCCATGATGATACGGGATCCTGAGGATCAGCTTGTTGGTGCACAGATCTTCTCGCCCATCGCCTCGCATCGTGCGCAGCTCCTTGGCCACGTCTCGCAGATCTGCGCCCATGTCTTGCTCGTTTCTGGTTGAGACGTAGTGCGTCTTCAGCGATGACTCCATGAATCGCAGTGCCAGCATGCGCTCAACCTCCGACTCGCTGTCGAGCTTGACCTTCCCCTGGCTCTCGACACATCCATAGTACTCTCGAGGCCTTTGTCGTGCTCGTGCCTCTGCTTCTCGAGTTCCATACGAAGGCGGTACTTGCGCTGCTGACACATCTCCTGCACGAGCTCGATGCGGTAACGCTGCTCGTCAGCCTGTAAACCGCCAACGCGCGCGTGAGCGTTGGCGCAAGGTGAGAAAAAGAGGCGATGAGCAGTGTCAAGTGGTCAAGGGAGGAGAGGCGTTCCCACTTGGAGTGTGGAGATGACTGAGAGAGGGGAGGAGGGAGATTGGGGGGAAGGAGCAGTGTACTGGATGATGAGAGGCCAGGGAGAACCGTCCATGACGCCAGACACCGACGGCGGAGGGATCTTACCGCGCTCCTGACTTTCATCGAGCCCAAGCAGGCGCCGCAAGAGGTGGTTGATGCAGAACGATTTGCCCGCTCGCTTTTCGACGACGAAGGACACGGCAACCGAGCCCTTGCGAATGGCCTCCATGGCTTCTTTGATCTGGTCCTCCGCTGAGCGTTTGTGCGTTTGTGCGTTTGGTGGTGTTATGTGAAGAGAGAGAGAGAGAGAGAGAAGGGGAGGAAGAGAGACATGAGCTGAGTTCAGGTGTGGTTCAAGTCCAAGTCCAAGTCGCAGTGGTGGCACGAGTGGCGCCCTACATCGGTGGTGGTGGTGGTGGTGGTGGTCGTGGTCGTGGTCGTGGTCGTGGTCGTGGTCGTGGTCGTGGTCGTGGTGGTCGTGATGGTCGTGGTGGTCGTGGTGGTCGTGGTCGTGGTGGTGGTGGTGGGGGCATGCTGACTTACCATCGTGGCGCAACACCGAGAGCGTGTGCGTCGAGAAGAAGATGAAGAGAGCGAAGAGATCATCAGCTCAAACGCGCACACCCACAACAAAAAGGAGTGTGCCTTGGACAAAGGCGGCCTTTGCTTCTCTTGCAGCACTCATGGAGGCTTGAGCGTGAGTGATCGCTAGCGTTGTTTGTTGTTTGTTGTTTGTTGTTTGTTGTTTGTTGTTTGTTGTTTGTTGTTTGTTGTTTGTTGTTTGTTGTTTGTTGGTGGGCACATTATTGGCCAAAGTTGGCGAGGCGCGCCGTACCGTGATACTTCGGCAGCTGAGGGCTGAGGGTGCGTAACGAGACAGAAGCCGACTGATAACAATAACGATACGCAGAACCTCTACACAATTTTTTATGTGCGCCCATGCATTCAATGGATACCTTGCCTTTAGTGGACTGACCCTTGGCAGTTTATCGTCAGTATCGGTTGCAGCATCGACGTCCGATTGACCCCACCAGAAAAAAGAAATGGAGTTTTCCAAGCCGGGCCACTTTTTCTTTTGGTCAAAAGACGAAAGCAATCGCCTGCCAGCTGCGACTGCGACTGCGACTGCGAGCATGCGCACTCGGCATACCAGGTCGCGTTCGCAGTCGCAGTCGTAGTAGCGTTCGCACTGACCCTCGCTGCATAACAGGATAGTATGGACGGGCGAGAGTGAAGGTTCGCACCGAGTGCTGCGAAGAATTGCTACGGCGGGACATGCTACTGACGGGCTTCTATTGCTACGGCGGGACATGCTACTGACGGGCTGGCAAGGTTTGGTGCCATAAAAGGCTGTCCTTACGCTTGTTTAAAGGATGGAGAATACGACGCGTTCCCACAGGCTTTAGGTGCCCCACTGGAGCGGCGGCAAGGCTCAAATTGGCTCATTAGCGCGGGCAGGAGGCCTCTGTGGTGATCATCATGGCGCCTCTGGCGCCCTCGTGCGTCGCAACCTTTGCCAAAACATAGTGCCACACCGCAATACATAAAGCGCGTGCAGGACGCCAAGACTCATCTAAGGGAGATGCTTGTTTAAAAACACCCTATCAGGCATACATCCCACAACGGCGGCACGTCGGCCGCCCCAGTTCAATTTTCGGCAGACACACAAGACATCAGCGTGTGGGGTGGAGCATGAGATAAATACCAAAGGTGGCGCGTCGGTCTTGGAGGACGTGAACGACCAGGCTTAGAAGGGCCTTGTCAGGTGAGTCCAGGAAACCAGCTGGTGCTGTTGCTTTGGAGCCCACAGTTCTTTCGTGTCCGGGAAAGCCGCGGAGAACTGGCCGATCTTCCTGTCCACGTCTCCCGTTGCTTGGCCCGACTTTGCCTCCACCACGCACAACTGGATAGATCTTGGCGTTATCTCGAACCATAGGCCATCCACCTGTGGTGTCGCACAGATTGGTGTGTGTGTGTGTGTGAGAGAGAGAGAGAGAGAGAGCAAGAACAAGACAAATGCAGTCCTCTTCTTCTCGAATGATCACGCAAACGTACCTCAAGCTCGGGAACCTGAGAACTGGTCATGAGCATGGAGCCTAACAGCACCAGGTAGAAGTGGTTGCGGTCGCTGGCCTCCCCCCTAGCGGTCACCTTGGCAGCAAACGAGGTCAGGGTGGCGTATCCCTCGGCCACTTCCGAAAACGCTAGCCCAATCTTCTCCTGGGTGTCGACAAACCCTTTGAGCTCAGCAAGTGTGTCCGATGGGCCTCTAACGAGTTTCCAAGGGGCAATGTTGATGAGGCTGTGCTTGGAAGCAAGGCACTCCTGGTACCAGTTGGGTTGGCACTTCACATTCCAAGGGCTCTCCTCGGGGAAGAGGAGTGTCTTGAAGAGAAAGGTAGCCAGTGAGTGAAGGGAGGCAGTGCAACCCACAACAGCATCCTGGTCCATCGCCTGGGTGAAGGCACTGCGCAGCCTTTGCACTAATGAGGAGGGGAGGAGGAGGTGAGATTCAGTTGGGAGAAAGGGAAGGGATGGCCACAGAGAGATTGCTTACCCTCAAGGGAAACTGTTGCGTGGCTGTCAATCGCCTCAAGAATTGGAAAGATGTGGTCCAAGCTGAAGCTCTCTGAACCCTTGGTGAAGAAATTGACCAGGAGAACCGGGCTCTGAATGCTGGGCCACGATGATACAAAGAAGCGCGAGTAGCTTTGAAGAGAGGAACGCAGAGACTGGAACCCGGCCATATCCTTCATCGCAGACAGGCATGGGAGCGAAAAGAGGTAACTCTGCTCGCCAGCCAGTTTCTGAAGGCCCCCAACAGCACATGAAGGTAAGTGAGAATGAGAGCTGAGCGTACTTCACTGAATTGTAGCGCATGATGGGAGCTTACCTCAACTTCTTCAAGTTTTTTACCCTCGCGAAAAGCGTCCATGAGCCTGAGCTTCCATTCTTCAATGGTCATATCGCTCTCTGACTCCACTTTAAAGCGATAGGAGTCAAGAAAAGCCAAGTTGAGCTTGGAGACCTCGTAGTTGGTGTAGAGTGTGTAGCCCAGGTGGACCTTGAGAGTATTGAGGAGCAAGCCAAAGTGGTCATACTTGCTGCTCCATTTCCAAATCTCTGCGAACAAGAGCGACTGCTTGATCTTGCTCAAGTTCAGAATGCACAGGCCGTGAGACTCGTGCATGTCCAATGCCAAGTAGGCCAACTTGCGGAGGACGTGAAACGCAGAAATCGCCTTCACGCCGTTCTCATGGAGATGCTGTGGCCGCGCCCCAAACCGGAAGTAGGTATCAAGAACCCACTTCCAGTGTGAGGATCTGAGTGCCTCAGACTGTTGAATCCTCCAGGCGGCAAGGAACTGATGGAAGCTGAGCCAGTCCCCGTCAGCCACAACCTTTCTGAGCCAATCTTGTGCGGCCTTTGTGAGGCCGGCCGACAGGACTTGCAGCCAACGTTCCTTGTCGTCGCCCCGCCTGGATCGCCATTGTTAGCCCATCCTCAGTGTTTCTGGCAAGAAAGGTTCAACCAGAGAGAGCAAGCCAAAGGAGGTTTCCTGAACAGTTGGTAGAGGAAGTAGCGCTCAGCAATATGTCCATTGTAGAGGTGGCTGAACTGGAAGAGCAGCACAGGATGAGGTCTCTCGACCCAATCTCCAGACTCTTTCTTCCGCCGCCACTCACCTTCTCGCGAACCGTGACAGGTCGTTGTTTGTTCGCAGGAAGGTAACCGGCAACAAGGGAGATGAACACCCTGATGTACTGCTCTCGCGTGTGTGGCACAGTCCGTCCTTTCACAGTCCTTTTAAGTGGGAGCTGTTTCATGCCCTTCCAGCGAACCTCTTCCGGTAGAGCCTCATTCTGCAGAGCGAGGTACAGCCGGAGAGGTTGTTTGCACTTGTTTTTCGACAAGATCGTCAAGATGTCGAGCGGAGGGTTTAGGTCATCCCCCAAGGTGACTGGGCTTCGGGTTAGGCCCTCAGCGCCTCCACTACACTCCCCCGGAAAGCTTGAGGAAGGAGTTGAAGGGGCAGACGACCCTTCGTTTTGAAGATGGAGAGGAGAACCGGACGTGACCGAGACCGGGCTTGCAGGGGTCGACTTTGACGACCCAGATAGGACACCCGAGGGAGAGACAGGAGAAGTTTTCTGCTTCCACCTTTTTCCCTGGTGCCGCCCAACTTTCGATTCGGCACTGGAAGCCCGGCCTCTGGGGGCGGCGACCGTCGGTGTACCCGCTGAGGTCGAGCGGGTGGTGGCCTCGGAAGGAGAGTAAGTCGAGGGGGTTGCAGGCAGAGAAGAGTTCTTCCCGTTTTTTCCCCTGCCACCACCACCTCCGCCACTGACCCTTTTGGATTCAGCACTGTGGCCCCGGCCTCTGGCGTTGCCCTTTGGCGTGTCCGCAGGTATAGGGAGCGGCGTAGAGGGGGTAGTGGCCGACGCAGAGCGCTCCCTGTTTCTTCCCCTGCCACCACCACCACCACTCTTAGATTTCGCACTGCGGTCCGGGCCTCTGGGGGCGTTGGTCGGCGGCGAACGGGGTGTGGTCGAGCCTGCCGGGGCATCCAAATTGCTCGGCCAGGGAGGTTGAGGTAGTGGACTTGAGGGGGGAGGGGTGTGACCCGGCATGCAGCAGGCGGCAGGAAAGAATTAACTTGTGCGTGTTTCTGCCTCCGCGGCAACTTCTTGGGCCTGTGCTGCACGGACGAATGGAACTGGGCCCTAGTGCAAAGTGCAACCTGTGCAGTAAATCAACACACACACACACACGCTTTAAATTGAAATGTTGGCCAACAAAGTGAACTAAATTTGGTGTTGGGTGACAAGATGTGGAGCAGATAGCGGGCGATTGGTTCACACACCTGCAGGTGATTGGGCTGTCAGTAGGCATCGCCCGCTATCTTCGGAGTCGTCGAACCAACCAACGCGCGAGAATCAGACTCCGAGGCTGAAAACGCCAAGGGTCGGCTGGGCCGCTTCTATTGGCCAAGAAATAGCTCCGTTTTACCTCTGAACTTGCTGTGTTGAACACTCCAGAAATTTCAAGCTGTCTATGTCGGCAGTCGGCAGGCCCTTTTGTCCGTGTTTGCAAGCGCCTCATTGTCGCACGCGACTACTTCCTTCCGAAAGCTGACAGCGGGCTCACTTGCGCCGTGGGCGGGTTCGTCCAGTATGGAAAAACGTCCAACATGCTGTGCGTTGCTGCCATCCTGGCCGACCATGGCCTCACCAAGATCATCATGACCTCGAGGAAGACCATTGTGCTACGAAACCAATCGGCAAAACGTGGCCATAACGCCTTCAAGCCTCCGTCAGATAGGACACTCGAGGCGTTTGGACAAGAGGGGACGTACGAGATCTTGAGCGAGGAGGCGGCCTACGCTGAGGAAGATGATGGTGAAGAAGAAGAAACAGAAGACGAAGAGCAATCAACCGTGGGCTCTGGACCCAGGACGCCCCTCTACCCTCCCCCGACGCCAGAATCACATGAAGGGGCGATGAACTCATCCACATCCACAATTGATGTGGATCCTGTGGCGGACGAACAACAAGCGGTGGATTCCTTGGGTGGAGGGTGCTCAAACTGCTTCAGCTTCCAGGTCATGAAAACCATGTGAAGCAGGACATGGCAAGCGGGCTCTAAAGAAGCTGCAGGATGCCTACGACAAGGAGCAGATCTACTTCTTCATAGTCAAGAAGAACCCCCACGTTATCAACAACATGTCTCAGTTCTTGAAGAAGTCAACAGCAACAAACAAGAGCGACAAGATCGCGTGGTTCGACGATGAGGCTGATGAAACAGTCAACAGCAAGGGAACCGGGAAGAATTGGACCAATCTCCACAGCAGCTGCATCCAACTGCTCAATCGTTCGTGGGCATGTTGCGAGTCCTGATCGTGAAGGTTAAAAGGCTAAGACGATTGCTGAAAGGGATCAACGTGGGCTTGGCCTTGCCACTTGGTGATTCCTGAACTACGAAGTCGAGCATATCCTCGTTGGATAGGGTGAATCTATGGTATGACGTGTAAAGGGGTTGTGGCTTGTGTTAACATGGGATGCATCGGTTGCAGGCAAGTTCATTTGGCCGTGTACCTCACTGGTAGCCATTCGGGTGAGATGAAGTGTTCAATGCCCAGGTAGGAAGGCTGGTTGATCTTCTACCCAAAAGCAATCTCGTACATGTTCCTCAGCGCCGGCCTTCCTGGTTCCGCTAGTGTAGCCGTGTAGCCAAAGTAAAGCGGCTTCACCATTTTTCTTGCAGCGATTGAGCAATAGCTGGTCAACAACGTGAGCGCCTTTGCGGACGAATGGCCTATTGACCTCCAGAACCAAGAAGCCCACCAGAAGCTGTTCCAGTGGCACGGACAGGATACCAAGAAGTCAATGTCACACGCGGTCATCGAATTCCTGGCGGAACTGTTTCAAGTGCGGATACAAGTAGTCTCCGCCCAGGAAGATCTCGTGTACACGTGCCTTGGAGGCGCTTACAAGTACCCACATCAGCATCTGCTATGCGCACAAGACAACCAACGGAGAACAGCTCAAGCTCTACACCGAGAAATACCGGGCTGCCGCCAAGACGGCCAAAAAGACAGCAGTCAACATCTTGGACTTTGTGATGCCTCTGCGCACCCAGAGGAAAGATCCCCCCTACGACAGTTTCTCCAGGCAGGACTTCGCCAAGGAGAGCAATCGCGTTGACGCAGTACAACTGAAACCCAAAAAGGATCGTGCGGGGAAGGAGCAGTTCACGCTCATCCCCGAGTTCCAGCACTACGTGATGACGAAGGACAACAAGCTTAAGCGCAGCTCGGCCGCACCCCCTTTGTTGATCATCGCCCTCTTGGACCCACAGTTCAAACACAAGCAGCGGGGATATGCCATCCTACACAAAGAGACGGACTGCGCGGATTACCCTCCGACGGCCTACATCTTCTATCCTCAGCAGAAGAGTTGCCAGCCAGTCTTCTCCTTTGCCTATCCAGCTCCCGACGCCAAGCGAGGCAGACCAGAGTAAGAGCTGTTTCTTCATCTCCAGGCTGCACACACAATCATACGTTTCTTGATCCACCACAGCAATAACAAACTGTCGTCGCGCATGTGTTTACACATGATAGCTCGCGTTCGCGTTCGCAATTGCTCGCATTCGCATTTGCATTCGCCGAACACGAACGCGACGTAGAATGCCGTAGCGAATGCGAATGCGGGGTTTTAACGTGATTCACGTCTGCGAGTGCGAGTGCGACCCTGCGAGTGCGAGTGCGCTTCCGAGTGTTTTCATGGCGGATTGCTGGGGTCACTGTCAACGCCAGCAATGACGACAAGCAGGCACAGCTAGTGCAGCTCCGTGCCATCATCGGCCAGGTGAAAAACTGGCTCCGAGCCGTGGACTTGGCATGGAGCAAGAATGCGGTACATCCCATGGGCTGCAGGCCACCCTGGTGATAAGCTTCGATGCCCTCCACTTTTTTTAAGTTCCGGACAAAAGGTGTCTGCTGATCAGCAGCGACGTCCTTGTTGGCGCAAAACTAGAAGCACAACTTACCGAGCAGCCCACTGAATGTGCAACCCTTATTGTCATATGTTAGGAGGGCTTCGCCATGTTTGCGCCTGCCTGCTCAACATTTTTGAGTGTGAGCAAGCTCCGGTAGGCATCCATGTCTCTCCTTGAGAACTGGATTGATGACAAGGAGAATGAATATCTCCCTTTCCTCTGTCGGTAACATCAACACCGACGTGGGCATGATGCTCAACTTCTTCCGGCCATGGTCCGTATCTCGGTGGAGTGCAAACATCAATGCGAACTCATTCCCAATTTATATACTATTGTGCATTTCCTCCGACACCAATTGAACGCAGTCAAGAATGCCGCGGGGGCGACTGAGATCCCCGTCTACGAGGCACAATATCCTGGTCCCAACCCCTTCTTTCACTATGAGTACGGTTGTCGCTGGCACCTTCAGTGGAGTCATTCCATCACGCTCGGGTTCTACAACAATGGATTCGCTCCCAAGAAAAAAAAAGAGCGAGTATTATTAAGGGATGACTGTCGCTGCGTAAATCAGAGCGGCAGTGCGCTGTTCCGAATGCGAAGCCTCTTTCAAAAACCTGAGTATGTCCTGGTACTTTTTGACCAGGTGCTCGTACTGTCCATAGACATGGTGGACACCATTCAACGCACTTGCTCCGAGGCGTTCGAGGTACGTCTTGTCGTTAGAGCCCTTGATACCAGCGACGATGATCCAGGTGGTGTAGTGCACTGCCGGCAAGAAATGTTGATTTAGTTTTATTTCTCTTTGTTTTTACTTTTAATGATGCCTCTATATTCTTGGGCAGGTGGCCTCACACCTCACACCTGCAACAAACACAATTCCCCCTCTCCGCCTAGAGCTGGCTGTTGGATACTCTTCGTCTCTCTCTCTCTCTCTTTTTCTCTATCTTTCTTTATGTTTACCTTTCTTTTCTTTATTCCCTCTTATTTCCTCTGACTTCACACTTGTACCGTTTCAGATCTCCTCAATACATTACCTTTTCCCTTTCAGACATCTTCACGTCTCTTTAGCTTCTCAGCTTCTCGTCTTCTTCACCTCCAACACTGGCGGCCAGTGGGGAGCCATCGTTCTGCCAAGGGAGATGTGGAAAGTGCTGCAAACACCCGCTGGCCACTCTGGATCTTTTGTTGGGAATTGATACTGCACAGTGGCCAAAGGAAAACAAGGAACCTATTTGTTTGTTTTTTTTTTGTTTTTCATGACTTGTGGCAGGCAGCAGATCGCGGGCTTTCGACAGCGAGATCTCACCAAGCCGCCGAGAGTGCATGCCTCTCACATGCACACTCCCTATGTGTCTGCTTCGACGACTATGCGACCTACGCAAGCCAGGTAGTTGTGCGTGCCCATAGCAGACTACACACCAGGGTCTATTGCAGTTGGGCCACTGCCGATCGCCTCCCAGTTTACCGCTCCTCCTAGTTGGGGTGACAAACTTGCCCATCGACTGCGAAAACCTGATGTCGTAGCCCTTCGTCTGGTCCTCAGGAGTCACCGTACCCTTTCCTACATAGGGGATCTGGACTGTTGAGGCTTTGAAGAATAGGAACTTCTTGCCAGCAACCTCCAGTGGCTGTAAGATAGCGACCAAGATAGCGCCCTGGCGCACAAGCCCGGCTGCCGTTGGTTGATTGTAGTAGGCCCACCCCTGCTCGTGGACCCGCTAAATCCCTCCGATTTCGCTCGACATTAAGGGGGGCGTGCGTCCAAGCCCCCCTCCCCCCGAACTCGTCCCGTTCAAAAAGAATTACATGTATGTCTCTATTTTAAAAGGACGCATTTTGTTTTTGGACACATTTTGTGGGTCCCCCCAAACGAATTTGATCGAAATGATTTATTAAAAAAATAGGAGGCTGAAGCATCATCCGTATGGTGTCGCTTGCCCCCCTCGCGTCCTGTGGCAGCTTCCATCTAAGGGCAGAATAAAAGATGTGAAATCGACAAAATGGCTGATGAAGGTGAAAATTAAATCGAAAAAAAAGAAAAAGACGTCCATGCACGCTGAAACTAATTGAGGGCATGCACGAGGTGGCCTGTCGTCTAGGCTGACCCTCGAAATTGTGGCATGTGTTGCCATTCACCATCTAGAAAATTGAAAAGATGACGGGCGCCACGGTTGTTTTTCGTTTTGGGGCTTGCACGCACGCCCCCTTAATGAGGGTATCTACGTGGCCCGACCTCAACAGCGGTCCGATGCGCACCAACGGTCAGAAGCGCCTGCTCAGATGTCGCTCACTTACAGGGCAGACCTCAACTCTTTCCTACTCCCCAAACTGAAAACACCGGCAGCTGACGTTGGTGATGTTGGCCGAGCGCAGGAGGACATGTCCCACCCACCCACCCACCCACCCACACGAAGGCGGAGCTGCGTGACCATGGTCCACTCTTCCCGTTTGCACAATGACTTGTTTGCAAAATTTTCTGTTTGCAAAAGAAACAAAAATGTGGGGAGAGAGGAGGAGGCGTCGGAGCGCACCACCAGAGTCGCCTGCAGCCCCTGGGATGTACTTGATCCCTGCTCCACGTCAAGCCAACGACTCGGGACCCGTTCTTCACCTGGATGATGAGAGCACGGAGCTGCACTAGCCGTGCCTGCTCGTCGAGCACTGCCTGTGATTGTGGAAACACTTGAGGCAGGGCCGCGGCACGCGCACGCACACAGAACGCAACACTAAGAGTTGCTCGAGTAGTGCCGTGTCGTGTCGTGTCGTGTCGTGTCGTGTCGTGTCGTGTCGTGTCGTGTCGTGTCGTGTCGTGTCGTGTCGTGTCGTGTCGTGTCGTGTCGTGTCGTGTCGTGTCGTGTCGTGTCGTGTCGTGTCGTGTCGTGAAAACCGGAAGGCCGGCCGAAGAAAAGTCTTGCTTCGATGCACGCTCCTCTGGTACGTCCGACGACGAGCGCGACAACGACAACCAACTGGACTCCTGACGGCCTCCCCTCCTCACGTCGCTGCTCCCGCTCCGCTAGCCCGCCAGGTGGACGCCCATGGCAAAGGAGGACAAACGCCGGCGTGAATCGCAGTCTCCCTATTGCGCGTTGTCGGTCGGGACCAATGTCAGTGCTTTGTGCCCACGGCCGAGCTGTAGGTAACTCCATCTCCGAAGATTTGAGACGCGGCGCCCCTCCCGATTACCATCTGGCGGGCGCTGGTGGCCTCGATCATCGCTCCCTGCAGGGAAGCTGTCGGATCGGGAAGCTGCGCCGCCGTCACCTTGCTGGTGCCATCAAGCGTGGCGAGACCCCCAGCTTGACCCTTGGAGGTGATGTCTGCGTCGATGGTCGCCACGTTGGAATATGTGCCGCCGGTCTCCCGAATCATCAACCGATAGTAACATGCCGATGCAAATCGGCAGCAGTTCCGAGTCCGGGCGTCTTGATGTGCGTAACTGCAGGCGCGTTGGCCATTTGGCCGCAGGCAGTGGACGATGAGTTGTGTCCTAGCGCGATACGTCGTTGCCCTATACCGAACTGGCGTCGGCGTTGCCATGGAAGGTGTTGCGCGATCCATCGTTAGATGGGCCCATGCCGGTGGTGTTGTACTGTTCAGAGGTGTTCTTGGTGAGTCCGTTGCCCACGGCCACCGCCGGCCTGCCAGTGTGGACCTTGAATGTCCATGAGGGAGCCTATACTCGTTTCTCAACAAACAGGCACTTTTTTTGAGCAGTAGCGGTGTGGGCAAGAAAGGAAGACCACCATGGCGGTGCGAATGCGACTGCGAATGCGACTTCCAGAACAAGAAAAAGAAAATCAAAATTCAACCATTTCTAAAATCTCCTAAGGTACGGTGCTGCAATCACCTTCCGACGTCGCCAACAGGGCGGCAAGAAAGATTTAATTCCTCTTTTTCTTTCTTTCTTTCTTTGTTTCTTTGTTTCTTTGTTTGTGGTTATCGTAATCGTAATTATCACCAGCAAACACGAGGCCACAACCATGAAGATAGGAACAACCCAACAACGCGATCCGCGAGGCCTTCTTCCTCGTGTCGCCGCCAAGAGCTCAGTGCTTCCGACTACGACACGAACAAACTCGAGTCCGAAACGCCAGCAGCTGGTACGTGCGCCACGCCAGGCGGACCTCGCGCCGAGTAGAGACAGTGCCAGCACTCCAGCAGGCACCCCTGACGCCAACAAGCCCCTGCCGGTGCCAGTGCATTGTTGACTCTCGGTGCAAGCACGAATTGCCAAAGCATCGCAGCATTGCCACAACCGCAGCAGCATCGACACCAAACAACAGGCCCGCGCGCGTGCCAACGCCGCGGTGCCCACGCTGGGCTCCAACGTTGGAGCGCAAAAATAAAATAAAATAAAATAAAATGTTGGCACCTTGTAATTAGTGTGCGCCAATTAATGACGCGTTCCAAGGCTCGAGTCTGTTTGTTCACCAAATCCTCACACCGATCGGGTGTCCAAGAATAGTACCTTGTTGAGAGACCACCGCCGTTACGAGGCAAGAGCAAGGAAGGAAAGGAGTTTAACCTTCACCATGGGCAGATAATAAGCGTACACTTATGCTAGCATTTGCCCGCCTGACCTGAACATCGTACCGCAGTAAGGATGCGGGTGCATCGTTGGACGTGTTTTTTCGTGCTCTTCCTTTGGACCTGCTCCGCCGTGGTGGAGTCCGCCAACGGTACTCAGCTTCCACCCCCATTGATGTGCTTCATCCAACTCACTGGTTCGGGCTTCAAAGTACTGTCAGTGTGTAGCAACTGCACGCACACCACGATTAACAGTGCGGTAGTCTCCGCCGGGCCGGGCGATATTATCATCATCGCCCCTGGAAATTACAATGAACCGCAGACATCTATTGGGTTCCCTCTTACCTTCCAGTACACGCACTTCCCCAAGATGCTTGCAACGTTGGTGGGCAGGAGTATTCTCAACATAATTTCTTCAATTCTGCAACATAAGGGCCACGGATGGCGACGTTTGTGTCTCAACGACGAGCACATACTATACCACGTGGCTAATAATCAATTCCGTGCTGACCCTAAATGGCTCGTTCACGACCAACGGCGCATGTACACTTGCTGCCCTCCTCTTTTCCTCCTTGTCCTCCCCCTTAACATTCACGCCACAACAGGCTTAGAGGTGCCGGGGGCCCTGTACCAATACGGAACACTCATTATGGTGCCAGCAATTCGCGGTACCTAAGTAGTTGGTTGCACGCACGCACGCGCGCACGCACGCACGCACGCACGCACGCACGCACGCACACACACACACGCACCCCCTGGATTCACCCTGAGACGCTTGATCAGCGATATATCTGAACCAGGGCCAGTGGCACCAATACGGGCACGTGCACCTGATTTCTGCAGGGGGCGCCAACGGAATCATCAACCTGAGCGGGATATGGGATCAGTATGGCACTGTCCTCCTCGAGGCAACTGGTGAAACTGGTAAGACCGGTCCCAACTCAATGCTCTACCCTATTGCTCACGGTAGTATGGGCACAAAAGGGGTGTTCTTGGGAGTGTTCTCTGGTCCACCTGGTGTCTGGAATCAGTATGGCAGTGCGGAGCTTGTGGTCCTGCATGGTAACGGTACGCCCACACTCTTGACAGGTGGCCAAGGGCCAACGGTGTAGCCACTCATATCCACACCAATCTGCAGGGTTGGTGACTCAGGATACCTTTGCGTGTGCATGGAGGCAAGAGGGCACACTCAAGGTCACTGCCTTGTCCACATCAAATGGTGCAGTCAGGTTCTCAACCCATATCGGAACAGTATAATGACCAGTTGTCCCTACCTCAGGTGTAGTGTTGAACACAGGAGCCACCTGGACGCAGCTCAACAGCAGCGTGTTTACTGTGGATGACCAATCAAACGGTTTGTCCCCCCCAATCATCTGCTGTCAACAATCTGTGGCCTTCTCACACTTTGATGAACAGGAGTAAGTCTGGCAGGAGCATGGACCCAGCAGTCCAGTGTCAACATGACCATTCGTGACAGGAGTGTGGGTACTCATACTGAGCCATATTAGACAGCCCCACAACCACAGCACCTCAACCGCTCGCTCGCTCGCTCGCCCACCCACCCACCCACCCACCCACCCACC